TAAAATTTTAATTATCAAATTTAAAAAAATTTTTGATAAAATAGCAAAAATCTTATAAATAAAATTATGATTTTAAATTTCAAAACAAAATGATTTAATTTTAATTTTAATAATAATAATAATGCTAAAATAATAATAAGATTAATATATTTTTATTTGTATTTTTTTATTAAAAAAAATCTTATTTAATTTTTTAAAATAATTATTATGAATTACCTTTTATGTTTTTTTTAGAATATTAATTTTAGAATAATTCAATTTTATTCAACTTATGTATTAATAAAATTTTTTTTAAAAAATATAAACAAATAATTAAGAAAATATTATTTCAACTTTTTATTTTGCTATTTGTTAATATTATGATAATATATGAAATTTTTAATTTAAATAAACTTATTAAAATTTTTTTTAAATATTAGATAAAAAAAAATTATTAGAAATCTAAAATAGCAAATGATATAAAACTTTTAATAAAATATTTAGGTTGTTTTAATATTTCTTTTTTTAATTATTTTGAATTGTAAATAATGTTTATGATTGAATTTGAATTATGATAATCAATAAGAATCATATTAATTAAAATTATATAATTTTCAAAAAGATAAGATTAAATTATTAAAACTTAAATGTTTTAATGAAAAAAAGATATCATTTTTTATTTAATAAAGAATCGTTAACGTAACATTAAATTTAGAAATATATTCTAATTGCTTGAAAAGGCAAATTTATTTAGACTATTTGTAATTTGCAAATTTGGGACATTGTAAATTCAAGTAGATTCCATGAAACATGTTATTTTATAATGATGATTGATCGATCGTCACTTTTTATAGTATAGTATAGTATATAGTATAATTAAAAGAGGTAAACTTGTTAATTTAGAAAAAATATATAATATTAGAATTGTTATTTTATAATTTAATTAATATGTTTTATAACTGTAATAACTGTAAATGCAGGCAGTATTCAAAAAGTAAGTTACCCATGTCATACGATATCACGATATTCACATGGTCACATGCAGTCCTATAACAATTGTTATCCTTAAATTGGGAATCATCGCCGTTGTTCTCGAAAGTACGAAATAAGAAAAAAGAAAACTCAAAATAGCTTGCAAAATTTGGTACCGAAACGCCGAGGATCAGAAAAAAAAGGCATTGGGTTGAATTATACGAGCCAAAGCAAAACCAAATTACAAAGGATCTGATCAATTGTCAGTCATGTTCGCGACCTGGCTTACACTTATAATATTCACGTGATATGTGCATATAATGCGGACATATTAGTGATTATGAGTATACTATATATAAATTTATTTTAAAAAAAGTAAAGAAAAGAAAGACCTTGGATTGGTGATTAATTTTACATTTTTGGCGAATGAGTAGACGAAAAGGATTTTTTTTTTTTTTTTTTTTTCACAAGACACAGATGGCTTTTTAAATATTTATTATGATATTTATCGTTATGCAGAATCTGATATCTTCAATGCAAATAGATACACTTATGAGAGTTTTCTTTGTCATCAAGTGTGCATGGTTTTACAATAAATACTACAAATTTAAATTAGTCACAGATAATGACGCAATACACACGACGTGTGTATATTTAATTATTTTATATTAATATGTAATATATGGTATACACGCACTGTATTTGATAATATTGTTGGCGGAAAATAAAAAAAGACAACAAAATGTCTCATCGACTTTATCTTCACAAAGGGGACGTGTAGAAACCACAATCTTTTTCGTTCGATGTGACTTTTTTGTTTACCATATGTCGATAACAGGTGATCTCTCGTTTTCTGATTCGTCTGTTTTGGAATACGGTTCATATCATTCAGGTCAAAGTTCGTTGTCCACCGGCCGTAAATATTTACATTATTGACATATGTTTGGGAGATATAATCCGTTTGTTTTTTTTTTCGCGTCTTCCACACAGGATTCTCTGCAAGTTTGAAAACGTTCGACACCGCGATCTTTTATTCGATTACCATAAATACAATGGAGAGAGGAGAAATCCACAAATTTCATCGGAGATTATACATAGAGAGGCATCTTTAAACATACGAAAATGGCTTCAATAATACTTGATTTGGGTAGTCCCATAGAGATGAGCGAAGGGCGCCCATCAAAGCGCATGTGCTACGTGATTGTTTGAGAAAAAGAAAGCCTAAGTCGAGACCTCGTGTTCATCCTTGTGAACGATATACAGTATTGTCCTTCGATTGAGCATGAACCTAGAATCAAGTACTAGACATATATAAAAATTCCAAACGATCAGGGTACATGGTGTCCTTGATCCTATGATTTTGGGAGTATTGGGAAAAGATTGATGGGGACTCATGCTAATTGGCAAGTAACAAAGGAGTATAAGTTTCGGAACGTTGCGAAAACAGACAGATACATTACATCATGTTCCTGTCTGCTTTGTTACACGTTTATATTCGGTTGTCTTCCCGGTGACTTATTTTAATTGTCGGGGTGTCACTCATCAATGCGTATCTATTTGGCTTCTTTGCGGGATTTGATTTTTTTATGGTGGGCGAGGTGAACCTTTTTTTTTTAAAACAAACAGGTTTCTGACCTAATTTAAAGAAGATTCTCTACGAACCTTAACTGCGCGCTCTCCTCGTTGCAATACGTTACAAGTTCTGGTTTGGCTAAAAATGATCCCGCTGCATTGCCTATAGAAATGGTCTCACAGGATCCACCTACTACAAGTGACTTTCCTTTTGAATGGTGTGATGTAATGGATGCAATGAGGGGGATTGGACACAAGGTCAAGAAAACTTATGCGATGGGGCTAGCATTGTGAACAACGTGCAACGTGCTTTATTGATGCGTCACACAATCACTTTGCCTTGGCTTTATAATGAATCAATCATTGATCCTCGGAATATTTGCAATTATTATAAGGATTATTTAATATTATTTAATATTATTTTATTTCACCCTTCTAGCCAATTTTGTATACGTTCATTATTAAAGAAAATTTTTGGCAACGGACTTACCGTATTTCAACACGCGTCGTTTTAAAATGTTGGATTTCTCGGCATTTACGAAATGAAAATATATTGCATTTGGTTAGCGATGGTGAGGATAATTTCCTAATTTATAAAATTGATTACATTAAAAAAAAAAAATATTCGGAGTACTCTATTAGGAAAGGGATATAATTAACTATCAATTAAGGCCAATTACATTTTGTCACACCGAAAGTCTTCGCACATCACCTTTTATAGAATGTCAAAATTCCAGCCACATTTTTCATAATTTGCATTTGATAAGCACCGATGTTTTTTGAACCGAGAGGACCATTTCAAATTTTGACCATTGATAATTTGTGCAGTTTTTCCGCGCCAACAAAATGATACTTATTTGTTTTTGTGGAAACATCAAAACATGGCGCCAATTAGTGCCTGGGCAAACAGAATTTGGGTACATTGACTACCATAATTATTGCCCGGAGTTTCGGTGCGAACCCCCTTGGATAAAATTTGTCGTGTGACAAATTAAATTATACGTCGTCTCAAACGTTTCACGACCACTCATCCAACGATTATGTAAATCCACCGTTCGATTTGGGAGTTCTGTTTCGGTCGTGAATACGTTGAATAAACACATATCCACGTCGATAGATGTTAAATTGACTTTTGTACATTTCATCGTTAATACGTATATTGATGGAAAGTCTTGGACGAACTTATTCGAGGTAGTGTGACACAATACATGCGTGCAAGGTCTATACTCTATGCTGTAGTTCAAAAATGTACTTATCAAATAACATCGTAATCTATTAGGGGGCTCGTGCACTGTCCTGATGCATAGGGCAATAGGGTAAAACCAAAAAATCCTGTCCGTTAAATGGAAAGTTAATCGTTGCCTTTTTTGTAAGTCAATTGTGTTGCATTTATGGAGTCATTGAGTTGCACATTCAATACAGCATCGAAAACTTAAACGTGATCATGCGAAGTTCAATCAATACATTTTATTTGGCGTGCGTAATATTTTTTCATACAGATATCAAACGTGATTGCTGTTCACGTTGTATCATTACTCGTGTTCGTTTCACAAATCTCTATACAAGAAAGAGTTCATTTATAATGTGCTTAGTCATCAAAGCCACCGCCAGTAATAATCACGGACCAGTTTGTTTTTTTTATGTGTTGGGTAAACGTGATAATTACTTGTTTTTTTTTCTACAGCATTGGGATTGTTAACTGCGACGGTTATACATATTTCCACGTCAAATGAGTTATGCAAATCCTCTTGAATCTCAAAAAGAAGTAATAATAATAATAAAGAGAGTGATCTTGACGTCGTTCTATACATCATTTCGTTCATTCGTTCGTTCGTTCGTTTTTTTTTTCTTTTGATTCTATTTCTTGTTTCATTTCACACCCTTGATGGATGGATAGATGAAATATATATGTGTGTGTGTTTAAAAAAAAAAAAAAACCCCCCATTCCAAGAGCATCCATTCATCTTCTTGACATTAAGTGTCGTCATCTGGAAAGCTCTCTTTTGGAATCGACGGCTACCGTTTTAAAAAATCGTTCATTCTTTTTTCTCAAAGGAATGACAGGTATCTAATGATCTGGCAGCTTTATCGCTGTCTGTAATTCTCATGTTTCAACACGATTCTACTGTCCATATGGTACGGGTGATGATGATGTTGTTGTTGATAATAACCTCGGTGATATGGTTGATGTTGTTTACTACTTTCGTAACCATTGGAATGTTGTTGCTTAAACTGTTGGGGATTAAAATATTGCGAGTGGTGATGAGGTTGATGATATATTGGTTGTGACGGTTTACTTTGTTTGTTACCATCGCTGTATTGTCCTAAAAGTTTCTGTTGATGAGGTTTGCTCTCCTCAACGATTCGTCGGTTGAAACTGGATGCTTCGTATGCGCTGTTTTCGCCAACGTTGTCGTTGCAATGTGATAACGGAGGTAGCGAAGTCAAGTGTGCAGGGTCATTCGGATTGCTAGATGACATTGATTTCACAGACATCGCGGGAGATACCAGAGATGGTGGTGTCGTTAAATCACTAGAATGTTTGGATTTTTGAATCTGACTTTCCAGCATCTGAATGTAGTGAACGGCTGCGGTGAAAATAATAAAGAAAAGGTTAGGCTGCGTTACTTTTCCCGCCACAAATGGAAAAGAAGTACACCATGTCGTCCCATCTACCTTTACGTAAGATGACTGCCTTTGAATCGGCGCATCCTCGGCAACTTGGTACAATGCTTTTGAGCTCCTCGAACCCCGAATTGATGTTTTCGCGTCGTTTTTGTTCTGATAAAATGTGAGCGATACGTCGATTCGTCGGTGTATGTGTCGGTGGCATCTTGACGGATTGCGATAAATGAAGGTCTAATTGTGAGGGTGAAGGAGGTGATTGAGGTGACTGTTGACGGAGAATCGTGGCATTGTTAGGAATGGGTTCCATCGATGTTTGTAGCATGGGTTGTGAAGAGTGTGAATGCGACGGCGGAAAAATGAAGTGTTCTTGTGGTCGACAACAACCTTGTGTAGGACTAATTATGGGCGGATAACTTTGTCGTCTATTCTGGTGATGATGATTGTGGTGTGAGAAGGATGCCGAGTCATGACAGGATATTTGTGGTGCAGGTGCAGGTGATGGTTGTTTGTCCACGGAGTTGGTGCTGTAGTGATGAAAAAGTTTGAGTTTCGCGGAACGAAGTAATATTCGACGGCTCTCGAAAATATTCGACGTTCACCTACCTGATCAAATTATTTATATTCATCATGCGTTTTAATTTTCTTCAATCGAAACAACTTGATTTTTTGCTAATTTCCCGTGGAGGATGTTTAGAAAGACTCGCGATTAGGAGAAAAAAAGAGATTCCCTTTTTTAAAAAAAAAAAATACCACATCTCCCGGAACCCTCTATATATATATTTTATTAAATTCATAATGTACTGTAAAATGATATTGACAAAGCAAAAAATAACATGCAGTTGGACAATTTTCATTGGTTTTGTATATTTAATTATACATAATATTCGGACCTTATGTAACCTTAATTGTGCACGTGTGTACGCAATTACGTAATAGGTTATTTTTTTTTTACATTGTTGTTTTGGAGGGTAATGATTTTGATTTTTTAGGGTCTCAAAAAAGTGGTGTGTGCGATGTGATATTTTCTTCTGAAATTTTCCTATTCTTATGTACTGTATAATAATCTAATCATTATATGCATGTTCTCTGGACTTCTCGGATTTCGACCCTGAACGACAACGAGCATGAAGAACACGCCTTGACTAAGCCTTAGCATTTACATACTGTTTCCCACGGATAACTATCATATGATTAATAACACGAATGTTCTTCCATAATGATTACTATAACAATATCACGTCTGATCTTCACAATGTGCCAGGGTTTTTTTTACCAACATCTTTAACTCGGCCACGTAAGTTTGGCAAAATAAAATAAAAATCAAAATTCAATACTAGTTAGTTCACTTCAATATGCTGATTAATTCTCAATGTTTAATAGTAACAATAATAACAACTTTATCTTATAAATTATGTAAATTACTGTACGTATATGTGCCAGTAAGTTCGAGTGTAAATGCATATATAATTTTATATTGTTATCAATATAAGTATATACTGTATATAGAAAGCATCATCATCACATACTACTGTATCGTTTAGTCCCAATTATTATTCTTCAATCATCGAGTTTCTAATGGCGGTGATACGACTCGACGCCAGCCCCGTCAATATTTTGAACTACTATTATCTTACATATCGAACTTTTATTTCTTATCAAGGTTTTATTACACTTGTATAGAAAAATTTTCTGATCCAACTATCGTACAGTTTGGTACAAAGTTCTTTGCTGTTGTTTTTAATCACCGACCTTACTGTATATCAAAGAAAAATAATGATTAGTCCGGAGCTAAGCGTAGGACTATATATGTATTTCTACGCAATAAGATAAAAACGCTCGCATGCCTTCTGCTCAAGAATTGAGAGTGACCGTTTTTAGATACATAATTACTGTGTTAGTAATCTTATATACAGTATACATTATAAATATATAAAAAAAAAGTTTTCGATATTAAATACAAAAAAAAGGTCTTTCTTTCACAACTTGTTTAAATAAAGTCTTCCATCCCCCTATTTGCGATTTGCGATGATAATACAGTGATGATGATCCTATTTTTGGTTTTACATGTCACCATTTTTATATACCATATATATTTTACAACTTCATAAGATACTGTATATCAAATGATATGCTGTATATGTAAATATTAATTTAATACTTCAATTGTCGGTTTGTATAACAAAGCAAAATTAAATATCTCGGATTTTAATTGTAACAATAAATAATTGTGATGTTTGTTACTATAGAACAAGGTACGAAAATAAAAATACGGAAAAAAAAAATGATAATAAATATACAAGACGCAATGTTTTTCGATAACAAAAATCTATCTAAAAACATTTATAACCAAATAAAATGGTTGTTACATATTAGATCTTTAAATAATGATCAAACCCCTTAAGTCGACTTATAATAAATAAAATAAATGTTTCAAAATTAAGAAATATACAATGTCTTTGTACTTACGATTGGTATAAAATATTGGTTAATATAAAGTTATTATTTATTAATTTTCAATTTTATATACTAGTTAGAATTGATTAAATAATATTGTGGATTTAAAATTTTATATTCAAGTTATCAAAAATATTATAAATCAAAATTCTATATTTGCATCTAATCAAATAAATATACAATACTTTATAATATTGATCTATGATAAATTTAATTAATATCTATTTATCAAATTTATAGTAAATTTAAGTATCAAATTAATATCAAAATAATATTATTGGAGGTTTTACTTAGAACTACAAAAAAGCTTGTTGAATTGGTTTTTGAAAAATTCTTGAAAAAATAATAATATGCTATATAGAAATATAATAAAAAACCATAAATTATTATAAATTGTAATAAAATATTATAAAATAAATATACTGTATGTATCTAAAGTTAATAAAATTTTTGAAAATTTTAATAACAATATATGTATATACAGTATATATTTTTCTAATAGATAAATACCATTTTATTATTTTTTTTATATATAGTAATATACTGTATATTATAAAAGAAACAATATCTTTTGTATATAATAGTAACAAGTTAAATACCAGTTTATCTACATAATTAATATCTAATATTAAAAATAATTTAAATCAATATTAATATATTAAATATAACAAATAATAACTACATTATTTACTTAGGAAATTTAATAAAACATAAGAAAAAAATAATTAGTAAAAAAAAAAGTCAATTAAATTATAAAATCTATAAAAAATAAAAATTATATTTTCAAGAAAACTTTTTTATACTTTTTATTTTATTTCTTTAGTTTTTACTACTTGTTTATATAATCTTTAAAAGAAAAATCCAGCTGTTTAAAGATAATAACTATACAGTGAAACATTTTTTACTTGATTACATAAAGGTTAATTGCTTTTTCCCCTAGCATATTAGTATAATGAAAACAATTTCATCCTTCTTCCAATCATTATATAAGAATAAAAAGATAAACTTATTGAAAATTTAAATTATAAATTTTTTTTAGTTATGTAAAACTTCTTTTAGAGCCTAAATAGATTAAAAAAAATCTTAACTAATTAGATAAATTCAAGCTTTTAAATAATTTCATCACAATAAAAGCTGAACTCAATATTTTTAAAAAATAACTTAATAAAAACTTATCTGACTTTAGACAAACTATTATAAAAAATTAAGAATAAATATATGGACAATATTTTAAAAAAATGGATTATTTTTTTCTATTTGATTTTTCAATTTAAAAGAAATCAAAAAACTTCTATTAGATGTCAAAGTTAATTTATTTCTTTTATTAATAGATAATTTTCATCTAAATAACAATATTAAAAGTTTTAGTAATACTTTTATTTTGATAAACTATCAATTAATTTTATAATTAAACCTGAGTTATCTGAACTAGTAATAACTTTTCTTTTTAATTTTTTAATTTAATTTAATAATAATTATTGCTCAACCCAACTTGCAACCTTCGTTAAGTACTCCTACAGTTACAAGCATTATTGTAAGCTAACTGACAAATTTGTTGCCAATAATTAATAAACTTCATATAATATTGGACTTAAAATCTTGAGATGTATTACAATTTGATAACTTTGTTTTACTTCCTAACTTTACACTTTCTGTTCTATACTAAACTTTTATAATTACTAAAACTTTCTTAATTTTTCTAATTAAACTCTGATTTATATAATCACATAAGCAAATTATAAGCATATAAACAATAACAGAAATAGTTAATATAGATAAAAGTTTAGATATTTCAAAGTAGATTTTAAATAAATACTATCTAAATATCAATTATTTTTATTTTTCTTCATTTAGTGGTTATATTTATACAGGTTAGTTTGTTTACATGCTAATCACTTTGTATTATATAATTATATAAGATACTTTATTCTAATTTTCCTACTATTACTTGTCTACTGTTTCTCTTATAAATATACTAATTATGTAATACAACATGTATTATATTATTATATCTCTTTCTTTATCCATAATAGTATCTTTTTCTTTAATATTTCAAATATACTTCAACATCTAATAACACTTTGATTATCTTTCATCAATTTAAAAAATTTATTTTCTTTTCTATATTCAATATACATAAACTCAATTCTCAAGAAAAACTTTTTAATCTTATCAAAAATATTACAAATAAGAGAAGTATTTTATATTGCTTTGAAATTAAAGTCAACAAATATAATTCATTACTCAGGTTCTTAAACAATATTACTATTATATCAAGTATCTCAAATTCTTTTGCTTATAATATCATTGTTACTTTAGTAATCAAATTTATATTTCGTTATATATTTAAAACCTATATATTCAATAAGTTTGATATGTAATTCATCTAAAGTTCAAACCAATATCAATATAATAATTATCTTTTGTTATTTACTTTATAATATTAATCAGCAAAAAAAAAAAACCAAATTTTTCAAAAACTTTATCAAAGAATATAATAAAAAACATATAATTCTGGCTAATAACTTTAACTTTTATTTTGTTTCAACCTACTACATTTATGCCTTAACCTTTTTATACTAAAGAAAAATTTATAAATATCTCTACAAGTTTATAAATATCATAAAGGTCATAAGCAAAGAATTCAATTATACTTATTTTATCTTTATCAATACTTCATTAATTGATCAAATTTGATTAATTAATAGTTTAACAAGCAAAGTTCTTAGTTATAAAGTTTATATCAGGATGCCATAATAACATTTCACAAACAAATTATTATTATTCTTGACTGATTTGAAAATAAACTTAATAAAATCTTCTTCAATATCTAAAAATATTCAAGCTTTTTAAAAAAATATTAATTTTAATTACTTTATACTTAATTTCTCCTTATGAAAAAAACTAAATATCATTATTATAAAAGTAATAAACAATAATATAACAAAAAAAAACAATCTGTTTCAACACAACTTTCAAATTCAATAAATCTATATAGAAATATTATTAAAGCAATCAAAAAAGCAATTTTCAATTACAAAAAAAACATATCAATTAATAAATTTTCACATATTACAATTACAATTCTTAAAAAGATTTTTAACAACTCTTTATATCTCAAGAATCTTATAAGACTACTAAAAATTTTAATTTAAGAAAAAACTGTCAAGAG